ATTTCTTGCATGTAGTAGAGAATTTTTTTTCAAAAATTTCTCACTATTGCTTATACTGGCTCAGTTTCAACGGTGTTGGTGATGCTGAGAGCTCTATCATTGACGTGCAGGTGGCTTTTTAAGCATCACGTTGTTTACTGTAGCCCAGAGCAGCTCCAATCATTATTGTGCTTAAAATGGCAGTAGTACCCTCCAGTAGGGCTCTGAACACTGATGATTCAGGTGGAGCTGAAACAGTGTTAGCAATAGTGGGAATTTTTAAAAAAATGTCTCTGGGGTAGTCAAGGCTATAAAGAAGTGAAGCTGAGTTTAAGTGGGCTCTTGTGGAGCTAACTATCGGAATGTCCTTTATATTGGTTTTTCAGCCAAAAAGTAGGCTATAACCCACCCCTCCCCCCCCCCGAAGCTGACAGTGTTGTTTTAAATCAATGTTCATACCTTAGACACAGCGGTATCACTTTAATCCTGTAAATGCTTTGGTCAGAATTCATACTTGCAAAGCTGTACAAGTATTGTCACAGGACAGATGGGTCTGTGACTAGACTATCAGATTCCCTTCTCTCTCTTCCCCCCTCTCCTCCCCCCCAATTCCTGCTACTCCTGTTCATGCTGAAGGTTGAGATGGGAGTCCAAACAGCCTCCCCCTTTGTCAATTTGTCTCCATGTTGTTCCCCTGGATACAATAACTTTGCCCTCTCAAAATATTATTTTTACATGTTTTAAATGAGTCTTGGTGCTCTGTCACTTTGAGGCTGACTGACCATAACACGGGGGCTGAGGGCTTGAATGCTTTCAAGGACAGAGACCACAACTGAAGGGCTAATGACAGGAAATGGTTTGGAAGCCCCAATGCCGGCAGATCACCCCGACCTGCCATCCTATGCAGATTCTCATCTCTTTTCAGCTATCGTGTTGGGAACTGCATTGTTTTCCTGTTTATTGGAACAGTTTAGAAGCTGTTGCATATTCACTAGTATTTGAGCTGTTTCTTTCTTTGGGGCCTGCCTGTACATTGACTGAAGGAATTAATATCGAAACCATATGGGTTAAATAAAACAAACTTTAAAGAAGACAGAAGTGTGTGTTCTTCCAGCTTCCTGTGTTTATGTGGTCTGCTTGTATGTTGTTAAGTTTGATGTCCGGCTGATTCCCCACAGTTTGAAAGCAAGCTGAGCCTCTGATGCTGCTGACTGGGTCCAGATGTAGAGAGGAACCCAGTGAGAAGGGTCATGCTGGGCATGATGGACAGAAAAGCACTTTGTGACGGTTTGTTCACCAGCAGACAGTATATATTCTCTCAAGGCATGTGTGGATTGGTGAGTGCCACCTGACTGATGAGGCTGGGATTCTGAAGAGGCCCTTGACCTCTGGGAAAGCTGTTGGAGAGAAGCCTGCAAAATACAGAGTGCTTTCTGTGTTTCAGAGAAGACATACACACAACTTTTTCATATATATAATTTTAAAATATTTATGTGCAAAGTTTGCTCTAGTTTTCTAAATACTCTTTTCTATTAGATAAATTCAGGGCTCATCTAAGATAAGATTGACGGCACTGAAGGAGGTTGCAAGCTTAATAGCTGTATGTAACACAAACAAAACTTCTTCGTTATAGTCTATTAACTTGCTCCATTCAGAGCATCTAGTACATGGTATAGGGCCAGGGTTACATTTAGCTACTGTGCTTAACCAACTCTCCAGTGGGATCAAAGAAGAATTCAGTCTCTAATTTAATTAACTCTTGCACTCAGTGGCAGATTTAGAGTTAGTGGAGCCCTGTGCTCAGCTTCATTTTTGGGGCTCCTCCTTGGGACCCAGCCAAGAAAAAGAACATTCTCTCTTATCTCCTCCCCACCCCCATTTTTCATTCTTTTTTTTCTTCATCTTCCTCCTATAAGTAATAGGAAGTAAATGAAAATAAAGTGAGGTACCTTGATTGCTTTTGTAGTCTAACTTATTTTTCCACAGACCACTTGAAAATCGCTGAGGGTCTCGGCGGACCACTTAATGATCTTTCCAAATATTGTTTGTACTGTTAGCTAACAATTGTAAAGTTCTTTGGATAAGAGTCCTTTATAAAAAAAAAATGTAAAAAAACGGTGGGGTTTGTTGTCTGGCCAGGACTTAGGATGTGGGAGGGGGCTCAGAGCTGGGGGTGCAGGGTCTGGGAGGAAGTTAGGGTGCGGGAGGGGACTCAGGGCTGGGGCAGGGGGTTGGGGTGTGGAGCGGTTACCCGGGGCAGCTCCCGTTTGGTGCAAGGGGTGCAGGTGGGGATGTGGGGAGGGTGGCAGGAGTCATGGAGGGCAGGGGGCTGAGGGTGTGTGAGGTGGGTGCAGGAGTCCGGGCTGGGGGTGTGGGCTAGGGTCATGGGGCTGGGGGGGTATGCAGAGGGGGAGGGTGGGGGCACCGCCTCTGCCCCGCCCCATCCCTTTTCCAAAGCCCCGCCCCCATCTCTTCTCCACCTCCTCCCCCGAGTGCGCTGTGGCCCCTCTCAGAGCGACCTGAGTGCCAGGAAATAGCTGTTTGGAGGCGGGGGAAGCGCTGGGAGGGAGGGGAAGAGGCGGGAATGCGGCATGCTCGGGGGAGGAGGTGGGGGAGAGGGGAGCTTGGCTGCTGGTAGGTGAAGCTGGCAACAGGAGCCGGCAGTACCAAGCTTCTGCCCCCGCAGCTGCCTGGCCTGGGACCCCCTGTCGTTGTGGGGCGCCGTGCCAGGGCACAGTTTTACTGTAAATCCGCCTCTGCTTACACTGTCTCACAGTGCTTCATTTAAGAACCCCAACCTTAATTTGGATGGATCCATCTCCTCAGGTGAAAGGAGAATTCTTCCCCTCTGTTCATTTCATTCAGGATTGAAATGCTTCACTCTACTCCACCAGTGTATCCTAAGCATTTCCTACTTTAGGGGCTTTCAGATCTTTATTGCAGTCACTTTTTCTTTTTTATATGGGAGATTTTCACACTTAAGAATGGTGTTTGATATAAAGAATTCCCATAATAGTAGGAGGATTTCTGCCTTCCTGATTGAGCCTCTTTCTCTTACATCAATAAGATGCACTTGCCTTTTCCCATAACAGGTTTATATTAGCTAGAAACCCAAACTTCTTATTTTTAGTTACTTTTGAAAGAAGAGGGTCCCTCACTCCAATCCCTTATTGAGGTCATTAGAAAGAGGACAGTCAAGAAAGGAGGAAATAAAATGGATTTCCAGAGGTAGAAAAACACGGGATAGGAAGTGGAGAGTGTAATTTCCATTCCAGGTGGAAATTAGATTGATTTGAAGTGTCCATTTCACCTAGACCTTACTTTGATCTGCTGATCAGGGAATTAACTGATAGGGTTAGAAGGGACCGCAAAGATAATCTAGTCTGCCAAGATGCAGGATTTGCTGGATTTATTGCCAAGATGCAGGATCAGTATATGCACAACAAATGGCCTTCTTAGCATTCAAAATAATCCAACTTCTCCCCACAGATTGTAACTGTTCCTTCAAGCACCTGTTTGGTAGTGAACCTTGCATCCTGCTGCCCCTCTTTTTGTAATAATATTGCCTTACCAAGTCAGTTATTGTAGAACTTGGGAATTTTTCAGGTGTTTTCTTGTTGTCCTTGACCATCAAGATACCCTTTTAAAAAGCTGTAAAGTAGCCAGAGTGTTTAAATGTGACACTTAGCCTGGATCTGAGTCTCTCACTTGTCTCACACCGATGTGGGGATTCTGTGGGTTTGTCTTCACTGCAGAGTTAACTCAGGTGATCAGCACCCAGGTTTGAGCGCCTGGGTGTGAACAGTCACACTGAAAAGCTTTACCCAAGTCACTGTGTCTTCACTAGTGCTGCACTCCACCATGTGTGTTACTAGGACTTCTGGGGACATATTCCTTGGTTCTTTGCACTGCAGTAAGCTGACTTGCTTTATGATTCTTTCCCATTGAATTGTTATAGAACTTGTCTGTCCTTCTGGGCACATGGGGAGTATTGTGGGAATGCACCGGAGGACTATTAGAATACTATCAGAGTACCAGATGTTCGCTTATGACTTCATTGCAAAGTGGGTGGGTTACTCATCTGAGTAAAAACAGCACCTGGGCTCCAACCTACACCCACCACCAGGGCACCCAACAGGGGAGCAGAGGGGAAGCAGATTACTGTGAAAGCACCACTATACGTGGGTGAGAAGTTTTTGTGTGTGGATGGGTGGGGGTTGTGGCAAAACCAGAGTGAGAGCCCTGGTAACTCTGCAGTGTAGACATACTCTAAGAGTAGGAATGGAATTTTTCTCTTTCCATCAGGGTGAAACTTTTTCTGATAATTCTAGTGATTTCTTGTTCAGAGATCTTGTATGTGTTCTGCTAGGGATGGGTATGAAATAAGCTTGTATTCATGAAGTTATTCCTCCACAAATTCAAATCTCCGACTGGCGAATCTGAGGACACAAAAGAAGCCACGTCTGCTCTGGCAACCTGGTATCTTTCAATGAGAATTACATCATGCTACAAGTGCTTGCCCATTTTGCTTGTGAACTTAGTATGTTGTATTAGTGGCGCAAACGTAGTACCTTGAAAACAGAAAACAAGGTAGCCACATATGAGGAGCAATGCAACAAATATGTGCATTTCAATACATTGTGAAAGTACAGGAGTCAGGAGAGGAAGTGAAAACACCAACTCAAATTGAAACTGCAAGGAGGATTTAGGTAGGTAGGCAGCATGTTATTTCCTACTAAGATGCCAACAATCTTCAGTTCTGATTACAAATAACTGACTGATGGGACTAAGATGGGATAACCCAGTAATATAAATTGATAGGTTCACGTCACACAATCAAATCTTTAGGTCCAAATAATTCAAAAGATTGACCAGCATGCAGGATTAAATTGAGTCTGATGTGCTGTTTGGCTTTTAAGAACTGGCAGTTAAGTAAGACTTACAAAGACAGATCATTAAATGGGCAGAACATGTGTGAGAAGTAATTCAAATGTTAATTTTGCTTCCACTTTTCTTCACAGAGGTATGGAGAACCTGATGGCTGGCTCATCCCTACCCCCACTGTTTGCAGATGATGATGGCTCAAAGGAGAGCAGTGATATGCCCACAACTGGGTAAGTAACTGCTGCTCTAAACTCAGCTCACAGCTATTCTCTCTTTGCAGACTCTCCAGAGAAAGTACTCCTGATTGTACACTCGTGCTACTAGACCAATTGAGCACCATTAATTTTCTCTTGTACTCTTCTGGTACTTGTAAAATCTTGTTTTCCAAGGACAGCCTTCTAGAGTGGGTCTGCAGATATGGTGATTGTTTTCTTTATTGTGCTCCAGTGGCACCACTGAATTTCTGTTAAAGCTACATTCTTGATTAAGGGATGTCCAAGAACAGAACTGATAAATGAATACTCTTCCTGTCTATCAAACAAATTGTCCTTATTTGCACAGGCTATAAAGCAGTGGCCCTGTCTTAAGGACTCAGTGACAAAAGATTAGATTCTTTTTCAGGATTACTTTTTTTTTTTAAGCATGGTTGTGCTTTAACAGATTTCTTTTCTATTCTTTAGACCTCCAAGGGGAAAATTCAGATCTAGCATAAGCAAGTGCAATTCTATGTAATTAAACATAGAAGCACCTGCTTGTACCAGGTCTGAACTTGGCCCCACGTCTCTGGGCCTCAAGATTTGCTGACACCAAGTGTGGTGCATGGAGGAATCTTGACATGCTGTTAGGAGGGATTAAGGGAATGATCTTTCATCACCTCTCATTGAAAATCCATGCACCACACTCAAAATTTTCCCTACTCTGTATTTGTTAGTAGATTGGAAGGTTGTGATGCCTAAAGTGGGTTAAAATCTGAGAAGTGACTGAAAATATCATTGTGGGGTTCTATAGGCGCTCACGCGCTCTCTCTCTCTCACGCTCTCTCAATATGCTTAGTGTATAATAAACCATTTTTTGTTTTTTCTAACTGCTGGCTCTGCAATCTCAACCTGAGATCTGAAAGTCAAGCCTGTCTCTATCTGGGTTGTGTATCATTATCAGTAAACCTGGCCCAACCGATGTGTATTTCAAGATAAGGTGCTATAGAGGTACAACTCTCTGTACATGAAAATTAAAATTCTGCAGTTGGTACTTGGTTAACACATCTGATGTTGCGCAAATCAGAATAAGAATTAATCTCGCTTTGTTGCAGCTATGTTAGCTCAACGTTGCTAACAGGAGAAAAAAGTAGTAAAAGTTGTTTGTCCATTGACTAAGCAGCTATAGCTTTGACTATACACAGGGAGCAGATCTCAAAATTGTACAGAACTATGAATTGTTCCATTAAGAACAATGGTTAGAATGACTAGTGGATTGTTGCCCTAAAACAGCAAATCCCCAAGATCCATGCAGAACTCTGGGGATCCACATAGATCAGTGGTTCCCCAAACTTTTTTGTCTGGCAGGCGCCAGACAACGAGCCACCGAGGACCGTGGCGGCGGACGAGCATCCGCCGAAATGCCGCTGGTAAGCGGTGTTCGGCGGCATTTAGGCGGATGCTCGTCCGCCGGCCAGTACGTGGGCGCACTTACGCGGGCACCACGTTGGGGACCCCTGACATAGATCATGTACCTCCATATAGCTGCACTGTTGGCCTCCATACCACAGGCAGCCTGATTCCTGCAGAGTGCTGCCATTGAATGAAATGCCACCTTCAACATCTCTTGACTAAAGAATAGCAGCCATTCAGGGGCCTAGTGGGAACTAATGATCCTGGAGTCTGCTTCAGATATCCAGGTGTGTCAACAGGAGACAATACTGCAAAGAGTTCCATCCCAAATCCCAGTGGCACAGAACACTTATACAGGGCTATAGGAAATGCATACAAGAAGGTGCAATCACTTGGAGGAGGATGAAAATAAGACTCTGTACATTTTTTCTCATTCTGCTGGTGTTCTCCTGAATACAGCTGCAGGGTTCATGTGTTTTCATTCCTGCTCTAAACCTCCCTTCATATGACTGCATGTTTGATTATTATTTGAATCAGATAGTGTTTAGTTTTGTTTGTGTTTGACTTGTGTAAGCACAAGTTTCTCCAAAAGTTAGTTTTCTTAGGACTGTTTTGTCTCCATCAGGACCTAGAAGAGCTTTATCTAAATCCCTGGTAACTGCTGTAGACAGTGGCCTGGAAATCACATAGCCAGATGGAACATACAGCTGTCTGAGTTGCTGTTTTTGTAATGTCTCACCTTTTGTCTGGCCTCAAAGTTGCATAATATTTTCAACATCACTGCACAGTTCAGAGGAGCCGAGGGGAAGTAGATTACTGTGATAATGCCTGCACTTTCTCACACAACTTGATTTCCCAGGTTAGCCCACTCTGAGGGGTCATACGGTGGAGGAGCTTCGCAGTCTGTGAACAACCCAGACTTTGTGGAGGACTTGTCACAAGTTCAGTTGCTGCAAAATGAGTCTTCTAATACAGCTGAAAGCAGCGAGCAGAGACTTGAAGAAGAGGTGAGCTGAAATAATATAGTTAACACAAATGACTAACTGATTGAGAGAGCAAAGCATGGGCTCTCCTCCACATCTGTCACTTTATTCATTTAAGTTTTTTCTAGTAGGATACCAGTTTTCATCCATCTACCATATCTACGAGGCTGTTTTTCATCTCTTTACTTTCTATAGTGTGACAGGGTCGGGTCAGATGGCAACAGGAGAGTGATAGAAGGCAGATATATTAGCCTCGGATTAAGCAGGTCCCTTTTCCCTGGGTAAGGTAACAGGGCGGTTCTAGAACAATCAGGAACTTGCTGGAACCAATTAAGGCAGGCCAGCTAATTAGGACACCTGGAGCCAATTAAGAAGCTGCTAGAATCCATTAAGACAGGCAGGCTAATCAGGGCACGTGGTTTAAAAAGGACCTCACTTCAGTCAGTGAGGGGCACGCAAGGAGCTGAGAGTGAGAGGGCATGCTGCTGGAGGACTGAGGAGTACAAACACTATCTGGCGTCAGGAGGAAGGTCCTGTGGTGAGGATAAAGAAGGTGTTGGGAGGAGGCCATGGGGAAGTAGCCCAAGGAGTTGTAGCTGTCACACAGGTGTTACATGAGACACTGTAGACAGCTGTGATTCACAGGGCCCTGGGCTGGAACCTGGAGTAGAGGGCGGGCCCGGGTTCCCCTCATCCCCCCCAACTCCCTATTGGATACAGGAGGAATTGACCTGGACTGTGGGTCCCACCAGAGGGGAAGGTCCCTGGCCTGTCCCCCGACCCACTAAGTGGATCAGCAGAGACTGTGTGGGTTGTTCTCCTTCCTTTTCCCCATGCTGGCCAGCGATGAGGTTAGCTGAGTGAACGGCAGATTTGAGCCATTAGCAAAAGTGGCCAAACTGAGGTCTGCCGTGAATCTGAGGCGAGCAAATCCTCCAATAAGCGCAGGACCCACCAAGGCAGAGGAGGAGCTTTGTCATAATAGCTATTTCTCCTCTGTTGCACAACCTACTTTCCTATAGTCAGGAAAACACAGCAGGCAGACAG